AGCCAATCACCGAAATTCAACAACAGCGAAACAGATGGGTAGAATACTTCGAGGAACTCCTGAATAGGCCGGCTCCAATCAATCCACCGAACATCGAAGCAGCACACACAGATCTTCCTATAGATCTCAATCCACCAACGATGGAAGAAATTAGAATGGCCGTCAGACAAATCAAGAACGGGAAAGCAGCAGGACCCGACAACATACCAGCTGAAGCACTGAAATCAGACGTCGAAGTAACCACAAGCATGCTTTACCCTCTATTCAAAAAGATTTGGGAGGAGGAACAAGTGCCAATGGACTGGAAAGAAGGACACCTCGTCAAGATTCCAAAGAAAGGAGATCTGAGCAAATGTGAAAACTACAGAGGCATTACACTACTGTCAATACCAGGGAAAGTCTTCAACAGAGTGTTGCTGAACCGGATGAAGGATGCAGTAGATGCCCAACTTCGAGATCAACAAGCTGGATTCCGAAAGGATCGGTCGTGCACAGACCAAATTGCAACACTACGGATCATCGTCGAACAATCAGTTGAGTGGAACTCGTCACTATACATCAACTTCATTGATTATGAAAAGGCATTCGACAGTGTAGATAGGAGGACATTATGGAAACTTCTTCGACACTACGGAGTTCCTGAGAAGATTGTCAGCATTATCCGGAACTCATACGACGGACTACAGTGCAAAGTAGTGCATGGAGGACAGCTGACGGATGCATTCCAAGTAAGGACTGGAGTCAGACAAGGCTGTTTACTCTCTCCCTTCCTCTTTCTTCTGGTGGTCGACTGGATTATGAAGACCTCAACATCTGAAGGAAAACACGGAATACAATGGACAGCTCAGAACCAATTAGACGATCTGGACTTCGCAGATGACCTAGCCCTCCTATCACGTACACACGAACAGATGCAGATGAAAACAGCCAGTGTAGCAGCAGTCTCTGCATCAGTAGGCCTCAGCATACACAAAGGGAAAACCAAGGTCCTCAAATTCAAAGCGGAGAACAGCAATCCAATCACCCTTGATGGCGAAACTCTGGAAGATGTAGAATCCTTCACATACCTGGGAAGCATCATCGATGAACAAGGAGGTTCGGATGCAGACGTAAAGGCGAGGATTGGCACAGAAAGGGCCGCATTCCTACAATTGAAGAACATATGGAACTCAAAACAACTTTCAACCAATATCAAAGTGAGAATCTTCAATACGAACGTCAAGGCAGTTCTACTGTATGGAGCTGAAACTTGGAGAACTACAACAACCACAATCAAGAAAGTACAAGTATTTATAAATAGCTGTCTACGCAAGATACTCAACATCCATTGGCCGGATACCATCAGCAATAGCCTTCTGTGGGAGAGAACAAACCAACTTCCAGCTGAAGAGGAAATTAGGAAAAGACGATGGAAATGGATAGGACATACATTACGCAAATCGTCAAACTGCATCACGAGGCAAGCTCTAACTTGGAATCCTGAAGGGAAGCGAAAAAGAGGAAGGCCAAAGAACACATTACGTCGGATAATAGAAGCAGATATGAAAAGGATGAATTACAACTGGAAGGAGCTGGAAAGGATTGCCCAGGACAGGGTTGGATGGAGAATGCTGGTGAGCGGCCTATGCTCCTTCACGAGGAGTAACAGGTGTAAGTAAGTAAGTAAGTAGTTTGGGAAGTGATATGTTTTTAGTGTTATGAATAAACTAAGCATTTATACTGAACAATTAATTATCACTTGACCATATAATAAATCTGTTAACATTCAACTGATATTAAGGCAACATAAACCACTTTTACAATTGAAGTGATAATCATTCACATATGATTTATTTGAAGCTTCATAATATGAAAATAAAATCAAACTGGTACATGTAATGTATCCGTATCAATTATATATATTGGTTTATTAATGAAAACAATCTCCATCGAAACTCCCAACTTTTATATTACTTAATAATTTTATTCATATTATCATAGTATACTTTTCAGTAACCATATTACGATTGTTCTCTTGGTAAAGTTACAAACAACTTAATATTCAACTTTATATGGATAATCAATTTTGATAGTTTGTTTATTTTATTAAAATAACAATAAAACGAACTGTTTCACAAGAAACAACTAAACATGCTGATTATCCACTTACACTGTACTGTGGCATAGAACAAACTAGATTCCAGTGAAGGAAAAAATTAGGAAGAAGCTCTGGAAGTGGATATAATACACATTGAGGAAAGCACTCAACTGCATTACAAAGCAAGATCTCACATAAAATCTTAAAGGTCAAAAGAGAAGAGGAAGACTAAAAAACACATTACACTGAGAAGTGGAGACAAACATGAGAAAAATAAACAAAAAATTGAATAGAACTAGAAAGGAAGGCCTAGGAGAATGCTGGTCGGCGGCCTATAATACAGTGAGGGTAACAGGTGTAATTGAATAAGTACGTGTAAATTCAGTAAGTTATTACATAGACATTTTTCACATTATCACAGTGAAATAATGCCAGACAAATAGAATTGATTTATTTGATATTGAGTAATTTGTAATAACGTTATATGTATATTATATTTCTAATTTATTTGCATATAATTATCATTCATTTTAATGAATTAAAATATATTTGTTGATGCTAGTTAATCTCAGTAGATCTATGAGTTATACATTTTCTCATGCTTATCTTACTGACCCATAATAGATGAAGTCAGAAAAAAGACATGTGAAGATACAATGAAACAGGAGGAGACCGTCTAGACAGAATAGACTTATTAATTACTGCGCACTTTAATTCAAGACTTTTCTGGTGGATCAGTTCATTATATTCACGTTAGCTTCATTTAGATAAATTTTACTTTCTGAGACAGATCTTCGACTCATTTGTTGAAAATAAACCAATACAGTATAGAAGATCGACTTTTTTTATCTAATTCCATTATGACCCCGTCCCAATCCGGTTGAATATTGCCGTATTTTGAAATCAATCTGAATTTGATGATCCGTGGATCTTTACTAGATGGTTTTCGGTAGGATTAAATGTAAATTCCTATAGCCAGGTTATTTAAATTTTGTTTGTTGGGTAATCTTTCGCAAATTAAAATAAAGAAAATTCGAATTAACTAATCTTTTGTAGTAAGCATCATAAATGACTGACAGTATTACTAGTTTGATAGGTAGTATTACGAGTAACCATACTGTAACAGTATGATTCTTGTCGCATGTAATTATAAAACATAACTGTGTAAAACATACAGCGCTTTGTATTAGTTTATTTCAACATTGGAAGACCTGAACAGTTTACCACTAGGACGACGTACGAAACTTAAAACGATAGAATACTAGTCTCCTGAAATAGCAAGTAATATCAGTTTATACCAGGTTACTCATAGGAATAAAATAATGTGGTATTTATACTAACTGATGTTTCTTTCGTATTTTATTCAGCAGCCATTTCGACTTTCAAATATAAAACGTTCTGTCGCGTTCGTCGAGTTCTGTTTGTCTTAAATTGGACTATTCTGGGAATTATGAGTTACCAAGTCAATTCGAATACTTGTAATTGCACACATAAGTAATCAAGTGGATGGTTTTGTAGAAAGTTGTTCATTCTTCTAAGTCGACGCCTTTACAAAAAACAACAACTCAGCAAACTCCTTCCTTCCTTAGAAGACGGAAATGTCATCTAAGCTGTGATACAAGTTGGTAAAAGCCAATATAACCTAGTGAAACCGCCAGACACCAGACCATCAGGATTGATGAAATTCCTATGGTTGATGAGGACACTAGTCCATTCAACTACTTTACTTCCCATCATTAATCAAGACTATGACGCAAGTTATTCCTGAAGCAACATTTGCATTTGAAGGAAGAGAATCGCATTACAAAACATGCTTGTATCTTTCTATTATCCTCACTATTACTGCAATAATCAGACATTGCTTTTATTTTTAGCTTGATTATTGATGACCTTCTGGAAACAAACCTGAAGAAAATGCAATTAAGTGGCATACATCTTGTTTATGGCACTTATCGTTAGTAAGTTTTCTGTCAGCTACAACTACATAGTTGTAAATTTTCCTTTATTGAATTGTAAGATGATGTTGTGATACCTCGGATAATTTACGTTTCACAGTTGACGTTGAATTTACTGGAAACATTTCATGAGTTCTCGTATCTTAGTAGTTATATGTTTCAGAAAACGCTGAGTTTATTAAGACCATCATCAGGGTCTCCGGTACAAACAAGTACTCTGTAAATTTGTGACTCAGGATGTCTGATATGTAACAATATTCGGAGGCATTTCATCTTCATCTGTTGTTGCATCAAAAATATCTCTTACATTCAATGATATTGACTTTTCTGGTTAAAACCAAAGTTGAAGCCCTATAATCTTTCCAGTATATCAATACATTAACTTCTATAACTCTCGTAAATTTGAAATTCATCAAAGTCTTATAAAATTCTGACAATAACTTTATATCAATAGTTAATATCATGAGTCAATTGAAGCTAGACCACCACAGAAAACCTGGAAGCACTGGACGGTCGTCTTGTCCTAGAAACTATGTTCTGTAAAGGTTAAAATATTTCTTTGCGAGAACTTTTAGAAGTTTTACATCAAAAATACTTATCATACTGTTCAGGTAGTTTAAATCACGATTACAGAAATTTATCAAATTTAAACGTCCTCAATTCATTTGAGAATTCGAAATATTTCTTCTGATCTACGGTAATTGTGTTTTTATAAATTTAGTAAGCACACTTACTATATTCTTGTTAGCCAATCAACAGTGCTTATTTATTTATTTATTTCATTTATCAATGGATGACGTATTGTACTAGTTGTACTACATATATACACGCTGATTAGTATCCATATTAAGAACAAATTAAATCTTGTTATTTCACTGATTGGTTATTTCGTACAAAACTATTATCGTTGTATTATTATACTTGATGCCAAATAACTAACCTTGAGATTAAAGGTATAACCTTGGACATTTATTAGTAGTTAATGTTGTGGGGAATACTTTTCTAATCAGAGAAACAAAATTAACTATAATATAATCATAATCATATATTGTTTTTACATTACAAATATTGGCTGTGTTAAATGTTATCATGAGATAAAGATATGATAACTCGTGTGATTTCAGCATAATCTATCTATCTGCCCACGTGTTGTTGAGTAAAAGAAACACATCAGTGAAGTTTATTTCAGTTTATCACATGAATATCTAAACATTGAATTGAAATAAAACAATCAAGTAGTCTGTAATCATTAGAAAAGGATAAATAGTGGAACTACATCATATCCTCCATGATGAATTTCAAATATCCAAGCAGAAAATGTTTGTTTTCAAATAACTTTTGTATATTCACTCATCTTATTTCTAAAATTATCAAAGAATAAATGAATGCTTAACTGCTGAATTAATCATCTTTTGATTTATAAAGACATATATTATTAGAATATATCTAATAGGCAAATTTATTTTTTAAAGTATTGGAAACAGTAATAAACATAGCAAAATACCTAAATATTATTTAATTCAAGGAACTATTTCGATCAGTGAACATTTTCATAAAAATCAACAAGAAATCACATCCATTTAGATTAAAATCTTGAAATCGAGTTCTCCATTCAGAAGTATTCATCTGCTGGTAAGTCTCACTTATTTGTTCATAAATAGTGACTTATATACACTAAATTTCATTTTATGAAATATTTCCCAGTGTTCAGTTAAGCTTTTTAATTATGACCAATATTATAATTGTGTTTAAACATAAACCCATAATTATGTCTCTATTGTATTTGTTAATTGTTGATATACTTTATATTACGTAAGTGTTTGTAAATAAAAGCGAATTGTGAACAGTCAGTAACTTAATATTCCACAAACTGTACTAAATTAATGTTTGGTGGATCTATTATCGTACATTTTCCTCCTTATGTTTTAATAATTCTAGCTACTAAGTTGATTTAATTCATTCTGAAACAAATTCATTAGTACCTCAGCTTAAAAAATTATCATTTATAAACGTTATTCGGAAAATTCTCTGAAGAAGTGGCTTACACTAAATCACGATACGTGAGAAAATCAGATTTTTCTATTCATTAGAATATTAAAAATATATTATTTATTTATAGATTACCAGACAATTTTTTAAACAACAATTTACTACTGTTTGATACATTCACTGTATAGTAGATAAAGCAGGTTTTTCATAATCACTTTTGTAATGAGTTTGGCCATTTTTTTTACATTTTGATGCCTTTCTCTTGCAACTAAGTAAATATCAACTTGTTATAAACAAATTTTATATTGGCTATCAAAATATCTGAATGATGAAATATGCCATAATCATCGTTTATTGATTATAAATTATAATCACTGTCATCTACATTGAGTTAACTTCTTGTAAATCATTGTAAACAAAAACAACAACACGAATAGATACATAATAATCATTTTATGATCAGTAAAACAACAGTGTGCTCTGATGTGTAAAATTCAGTGTCAATCTTCTGCTCTTTAACAAGTTTTTCATCTGGAGAATTTTTAAGTATAATGTAGGAATTTTGAAGTGGACACAAAAATCCTTTGAGTATATTTATATGTGTATTGATTCAATGACAAAGCAGAAATGTATCTCAAACACCTCAGATGTAACATAAGTCTATTACAAAATATCCATAACTGAAATGTAGTATTTATCTATTGAACTTCCAATCATATGGTCTATGTAAATAATGAATTAATACAATCTATCATATATTCAGTTATTGAAAAATGGACAAATCTATTAAACATTTTAAATGATTGTTACTTTAGGTTTCAGATCTTTTATATATAGATAAAATTTATTTGGTGAGACAAATCTCGAGCAACCAAAAAATTGTTTACTTGTATGATGAGAATAACAACTACTCTATTAATTTAATGACCAAAAATAGCTTAGAAGCACAAATAATCGCTGAAAAATTCCCATTATATTAAAACACAATTGTATGAACGAAGAATATTGTTTTCAATGAATTTCTCATCAGGTTCTACAATTATAAATCCAAATTAATAATCCATAAAATTGGTCAGATTTAAAGCAGAGTACATCATTTGGAAATTGTAATAAACGAATCAAGATTTGTTGTTTGTTATATAAAATCGAATCAGATCGTCAATTTTGGGACTGACTAATATGAAGTGTTAACTTGTATCAGTTTATAATCGAAATGAAATTGTGAGATAAATGACCAGAATATTTATGATCAACATAGAGTGAGAGAAAGAGAGAGAATAATGGAATATCACAGGTTGAAATCATAAGTCGATTGAAGCTAGACCACCATGGAAAACCTGGAAGCACTGGACGGCCGTTTCGTCCTAGTACGGGACTCCTCAGCAGTGCGCATCCACGATCTCGCACCACACGGGGTTCGAAATCAGGACCTACTGGCTTCGCGCGCGAGCACTTAACCACTAGACCACTGAGCCGGCATCCAACGCTGTTAATGTCTAACTTTAACCAACTAGCTTCAATCGACTCATGATTTCAACCTGTGGAATTTCTAAAACTCTCCACAAAACCCATTCTGATAATAATGGAATAAAAATAAAAAATTACGTAATATGTGGAATAATATGAATTAGGTCAGATATAGTAGATAGGGGTGAATGCTGAATAAATTTCTCAAAACAGTTATCAAGTGTATTAAAAATAACATTGATAAAGATAATAATAATAATAATGATAAGATAAATTTGTAACATAAAAACGAACATTAGTCAAATTACGTCACCATATTATAAAATTGATTCATAACTAGTTGACCCCGAAGTTGGCCAGGGTAAAAGGACCGGCTGAACATATTTCTAAAGGATGCAAAGCTCTGGCGTTTTGATCCGAACAGTATTGGCTTCAGCTGTCTGAAAGATTCTCAGTCTGGCGGAATTAGGTAGACTGATGTCAACACGATATATTATTGTGAAAAATTGCTCATTGTTGGCTGAACACATGTTGACTGAATCAAGGTTTTTGATAAGGAAGTTTATTTTGAGCTATTCTTATCTTATAAAGGAATATTCTGTCAACTGGAAATGTCAAAAATATCTCACTGGAACATTTTACTTTCCAAAAAAACAATATAAATTAACCATTCAAGCATTTAAAAGTGATTTTATCATAGATAAGAGATATCATATTAATTCAATTCTCTATTCTATCTCTATTAAGATATAAGAATATTGACATATTTTTAATCATTATCATTTAAAGTATAGAAATATTTGTGTTAAAATATATTACCGATATAATCTCTAAAACTAATTATATATGCACCTGTGAATTTGTTATTATTCAAATAATTGGAGCAATACAACTATTTTGACATTTTAATGAGAGATACTAGTTCCAATGTATGTGATTAAGCATATTAACGTTATTTCAAAAAGAAACACTAGTAAAAGTATTCAAACATACACAACTTAATAGTTGAGATCATGAGTCGATTGAAGCTAGATCAACATGGAAAAACTGGAAGCACTACACTGCCATTTCGTCTTATTATGCGACTCCCCAGCAGTGCGCATCCACGCTCCCGCTTCATGGGATTCAAACACAAGACCTATAGGTCTCGCTTAACTATTACATCACTAAGCTGGCTGGCATCCAACGGTGTTAACGTCTAACTTCAACGAATCCACAAAATTCAGTGACACATCCACTACTGTCATTAGTGAGTTACTATCTCACAACTGGCTTGATTGAACTCCAGTGATCACTCCAGGAATTCATTCTTAAAGCCATTCATTGATGAGTATATATTGATTAATATCAGAAGGGGTTTTATGGAGATCATGATCCATAGCAGTCTAGCTTCAATTGACTCATAATCTCAACTATTGAAATTACTCAAATCTCCACAAAACCCCTTCTGATATACATCTAATTTACCTCTTTTTTGTTATATTGTTAATAACCTGAACTCAGTTTTCAATTCACTATTCATTTTAAGTTATTCTATCGTATATGTCTATTGTAATTAATTAAAATTTACCGACTATTTATTGAAATTATCAAATGAAATTATATAACTGTAAAGTGTCCTTTGATATTTTAACTTCATAATTATATCATATTCTATCATTATTTATTATTATGGTTTAAAACAAATACCATTACAATAACAATATTATATGTCTCAAATCAGAGTTTATCTTATATGAAATATAAACACAAATATATATTGAAATGATCTAATTCATTATTGTATACTATTTCCTTGATTCATCATGTATCATATATATCAAATCAATAAAACTAACCCCATTTTCAAATCATTCCACCTGGTTATCTGTATTATTATTAATCATAAATTCACTACTTGTTTTCATAATCTATGTACATGAAATATGAATAGCTATTTAAGGGTAAATTTGTTATTTTCCAGTATTTAATTGATATAAAATTAAATAAATTTTTGTTTATTTATAATTTCCGGTTATTTTTTTTCTGTTTAAAACAAATCTATCTATTTAAGTTTCAATATTCACTTTATGGATTTTATAATAAAAATCATTTGATAGTGATTGATTCCTTTAAACAATAAATTAGTTTCAGAACGGGGTTTTGTAGAGATTTTAATAATTTCAATCGTTGAACTCATGAGTTAATTGAAGCTAGACCACCATGGAAAACCTGGAAGTATTGGATGGCCGTTTCGTCCTGGTATGGGACTCCTCAGCAGCTAGCAGATTAGCTCAGAAATAAATGAAGCTTTGAATTAAATACTTGAATATATCTGTATATGATAGGTTTTTAACAATAACTTCAACTGGTGAATAGCTAGAAATCAGGAAGCATTAAAATGATGTTTCACTATGAGATTGAACTTATAAGTAATATCAGTCGAAGATCGTAGCAAAGATTAAATCCAGGAAATTTAGGTGGAGTCCTTGCTTAATATTCCAAATTTTGAACTTTAATTATTTAATGATATATGCTTCACTCCTAAGATGTTTAGACTCGATTGAAATGAGAACTAGGAATCATAACACCTAGGATAAAGTATTTTAATTATATTTGTTTGTTATCTGTCATTTTGTGATACCTATTACTAATTGTCAAATTTCCTATTGTAGGACGGTTTATTTGTCTTGAACAGATATCTTTAAAAGAAACTAAAAAACTAAAGAGTTTATGGTAGAACATGCACAACAACAACATTTTAAGAGTAACTATAAACATCTGTTTATATATTTCTAAAAATTGATGCATACATTTAATGTGTTATAATCATTAAATGATACTTAATCAATAAGACCATGTTAACTAACTTCAAGGATACGAACTAATCAAACTCGTTGATCATCTTAAATGAAACTAAAAAAACAGAATATGAACACTCTATGATATTATATCTACAGTAATACACTAGTATGTATAAACCCTATCAGTGAAAGTATAAATGTTATCATATATGCGAGGAAAAATTTTCATATGGTAGAAACAAATTGGATTTATGATTATTTCATGATTGAAATATAATGTACTAACATTTATATAATTTAATTAACCTTTAACAGACGCTGGAATAGATTAGAAACGATTATGTAAGCCCTAGCTAACATTTTTTTTCATAAATAGGTTTTTAAAATCTTATTGAAAGGATACAGGACAATCTCTAGGAAAAGTAGTGATTATATAATATATATAGGGAAAGCACAGCGTTGTCAAGATAAATGGATATTAGACGAGTAAAGAAATCAGATATCAGAACACGGAAATATGGAAATGAACAACTTTACCCAGTAAATACACATTTCTCCTGACTATTGCTTTTCTTTTACAAAATAAATATAACTTGTTTTTATAAATAAAGGGTTTGTAATCTGAAGACTAAGTAGAAAAGTTGCTCAAATCAAATAATACAGAACAATCAGAGTTATTTATGTAACATTTAACAAGGTGATTTATTAAATAAGTACTTTCGTCTAAATTTGAAGAATTAGTTGCACAGTATTTGGGCGTCGAGTTGATATGAGACATTATAGAGGAAGTATGTGTTTCTAAAATCTCAGCGAATGAATATGAAGTAAATCCAACATTTTGCATGGCAATCTGGTCCAAGCTTTTTCAAGGAAATATAATCAATTATCAAAATTATCGATATTCGAGTTTTTACAAATACATTCCTCCTCTTTAACGTGACTTATTATTTACAGAAACAAGAATGAAATTTTCTTGATAATGAGTAATGATTTGGTCTAGTTGATTTATTTAATGAAATAAATACAATAGTCAGTACAAAAGCTTAAAGATTCATCTTCTAGAATGCTTTACTTTCCACATTCATGCAGAGGATTTTACAACTCGAATCTCAGGCATTATTCATTAAAATTCTATCCTTTTTTTAATTAATAACCATTCATTCGTCTCAATTACATTTAACAATAATGCAATAAATTACCTTCATAACTTAAAAATAAATTATTTTTATTTTAATAAATACTTGAATTCACAAGTCGATTGAAGCTAGACCATCATGGTAAACCTGGAAGTACTGGACGACCGTTTCATCCTAGTATAAATCCAATTATTCAATTACTAATATCTCTATAAAACCCCTCTTTAATTTTAATAAATGCATTTATAGTCAAACCTAAAATTGTAAACATCATTTTAACACTTAATTATTAAAGTTACATTGAATGCTTTTCATTGTTCATATGATGATTTATTCTGTATTTTATTGTTGCTATTGTTGTTATTATTGTTTTCATTAAATGTTATTGTTGTTTGGCAAAAAAGTTTTTATTTGTTTTTAAGATCAGTTTAGATTATTCCCTCCACAACAGAATAATAATAATGATGAATAAGTAAATAATTTTATTATTTTCATAACTATAATGTTACTAATGTAAACATAAATCAATGGAACGTTTAAATAAGAATATTAAAATCGAACATGTGTCCAATTATTCACATTAATGATGAAATTTAAACATTACTATGAACTAAGGCATGTGTTTTAATTGTGATACATTTAGGCGCCAAATTAATATATCTAAACAAAATTTATTGTAAATGGTTAAGTTAAAAATGTACTTCCTTTGACTGTTATTGTTTTGTTGTTAAAATATTTATTTATTGTTCAAATAAAAGATTAGAATAACAATACTGTTATTATGTCTTAGTTTATTTTAAAATATTCTCAAATTAAGAAATATCATTCTGAAAAAGTGAGCCTCAAATCCTTTAGTCTATAACAGAAATAAGATATGAGACAATTTAGCATGATCACTAAGTAACGGTGAAAAAAGTTTGTTAAACATTTTACCTGGGAACTACATCAGTGTTACTTATGTTAATAGTACATATATTTGACAATAGCACATGATTTGTCTATGTAAGTATTATGTTTAAACATGATATCAGCTGATCTCATTTTTATTGATTTTCACTAATTATTAACCAGATTTATTCATTGATTAGATCATTGAAAAGAATAATGTTATTATCATTTCAATAACATTGTTCAATGTAAGTTGATGAATTAAGCTAATTAGCTTTTCGGCAATCAATTCGATAGCTGAAACACTTTTATATACTATATTCTGTTGACTTCCTATTCTCATCAATAAAGAATTCAACGGCAATTTGAGAAATCCCACATAAACCCATTTCGTATTCAAACTTGTATATCAGCATTAGTTTGTTGGACGAATGCAACTATTTACCATTCCACGGCTATTTAATTATAGTTTAGAACAACTTCTAAACACAATTTTAGCCAAGATATAACCTGTAACTTTTACATTACGTTGCTAGCACATAACCTATAAACCGATAATTCAGAATTGACATTTGTCCATGATTTCAGCCAAAGTGAAAGAATCCAGCGTTTATAAACCAATTAACCTATTCTCTGTACTTGATTATTACAAATGTTACTGATATTTAGTAAACAGGGATATGACGAAATTGTTCTGAATAACCATGAAGCATTACTACAACACAATCCAATAACTCTTTCATTTCATTAATAATAAATATTGTAACTTTTAAGACAATAACTGAAATATATGAAAACAGTTTCTTATCAGTTACACGTAGTACCACATGTGAGTAATCTTTTTCCCAGTAAAACAACTAGAAACCAAAAGATAATTTTTATGAAAATCTTGATAAAAAAATGAGCATTAAAAAATCCAAATAAAAAAGAAAGAATGGAATGCATCTACTTCATCTATGCATTTTATAATGAATTCAGTTTTGCAAGTCAGCAATAGTAAGTTTCTTTCCTACAATAATTGAGTTGGTATTCATGTAGTTAAAAGTGGATCTTTGTTAGCACATGTTTGCTGATGTATATATTACGTTTTATCCTTAAGTATCTCTCTACTCCAAGAGTAACTAGTTAATCAATGCTAATACGCAGACAATGGACAAAATAGTAAAAGAATCTAACTACTCCTAAACAATCAGTAAATTTGGTAAAGCGAAATTCCCACTTGAACATAAGATGAAAAGTAAACGTAACAAAGAAATGGTTCTTTTCAATCAGTTCTTCGTCATGGATCTACACTAACGTGTATGTATTTCACAATAATAATGGAATGGCAATCATGTAGTATTGTTGCATAAAAATATTATCATTTCACAATTCAATTTAAGAATAACATCGAATGATAGCCCAAATAATTAAACAAAAGATGATAAAGTAAATATAATAATTAAAATAATTATTCGTAATGTTGATCGGTTGGCAGATAAAATAATATATAAGATAATTAAGATAACCCATAGTGTCACTGAATTAGAAAAAGAGAATTCAGCGAAGAAAATAATCTTTTCGACGAAATCATTTACTTAAGCTGTGCATTCGTATATATCTAAGAAAAGAATTACTACAATATTTTTCATAACATGTCGAGAACTCATTGTAGCCATATTAGAGTAAAAAAAAAGAATATTAGAATTACGTAATGAATACAAAACTGAAAGAAATTTAGGGAGAGAATATAAATTCTGTTATGAAAAACTCTAGTATAGCTTATAAGAGTGACTTGAAAATAGAGATAGGCTGTGGCAGTTTCTCTTGAACACAAAATTTTGATCTGTGTATATGAACTCCGATAGCTTCAAAAGATGAACAAGCAAACTATGCGTTTCATTTAATGTAAAATGGTGAATAAATTAAAATCCTTCTTGTCTGCTTGATACCATAAGTTATGTAAAAGAAAAACCATAAAGATGACAAGTTATCTCCAAGTGTTCTTCTGTTCATCCAAATTAGATTGTATTCAGAGATTTTATGAAGGACATAAATAACTCTATGCCCTATGTAACTGGCTTCACTAAAACAGTTACACTAATAAAAACACATAAATGCAGCGAACTTAGGCAGTTTGTTTTTGTTTGGAGACTATTGTAAAATACCACAGTTTGGCTTTAATTCACGATTATTTTAAATAAGTTTGTTTTAGCTTTTTCATGTTAATATTTCATAGGCAACAATGTATTCTCACTACGGTCTGAGAAATAATGAATTCTACGAGACATTCACTATTCTCAGGTTTATTTTTATCTAGTTCATGTGTTTATAATTGGGTTTGGTAAGATATCCGACCGTACACTTCAGGTTATAAATATTATTTTATTATTATTTATTGTTATCGGTTACCAACCTATTCAAGGGTAAATTCATATTCACCTATGATATACGTAATGAAGATTATGCTAATATTGTAGAAATTCAAAATTATTTCACTAAAATCCATAAGCTAATAGCAGATGGAAACGCCAATCTTTCCTAATTGTTAAAATAATAATTATAATCATCATTGTAGGAATTCTACACACACACACACACAAAAGGACACAATACTGTGAACCACCAGATGTCTACTATAAAAAGAATTCAAGTGGAAAATAATATTGTCGATAATTACTGGCCAGTATTACACTTCAAATACGCAGTGATAAAGAGAACATAAATACAAAAAATTGAAATCTATTTCTAATTTCTATTTTGAACAGAATTTATTATTGATTGTTGATAGAATTTTGTTTTGTAACACTCTTTTTTTACATTTTCAGGTGGCTAGTTGTTTAAAAAAAGAAGGATTTGTGGTAGGTACTTCTTTTTATTTATTTATTTATTTATTTAAATTTATTGTACATTTACAAATTGATGCTAAACTAAACTCATTAGACTAAATAAGTACAGTGCATGAGATGTCTAGTTGTTTAGATTTACATTGGAATTTAAATGATTCAATTTATTCAATACTCAAAAAAGAATAAGATAAACTTGGTTCTAGTCCTGCATAAAGTTAATCACAACTTGAATAGATCAGCGGTAATGTATCAAATTGAGAAAGTGAGTGAAGTTGGATTGAATCCATCAAGAAATGTCTGTTCTCACAAGAATAGAGGTATAACTACGTAATGAATACCAGTCATTAAGAAATCTACATCCACAAAAATTTAATGCTAAACTATTTTAAATCACTTAAAATCTAAGGTTAGTCTTTGGGAATTAAATATATATCAAAAGAAAACCACTCAATGACGAAAGCACGGATTTAAAGTATCTTTCACAGATAATTCAGTTTTGATGAAGAAGTAATAACTGTAGATGTATATTTATTATACATATGAATGTCTCAATCTTACTTGTTGACAATGATAATATGTTAACTAGGATTTTTAACGATAACAAAAATTATAATCTTAGAAAAATTATATTAAAAATTATAGATAAAAATAATATATTTGTAATATCCCAATGAGTAGGAACATTAGATGTTCTGACGTTTCGTGACAATATAAGCCACTTCTTCAGGGAATGAATAACCAAATTAAAATTACTCCAATTTCAGATAGTACAAAAAAAGAACGCAAGAATATTGTGTTCGATCAATCAAAAAGCAGATCTGAACAATTCGAAATCCAATTATAAGAGTATAAATCGTTTTACCAAGGAATGTCTTGAATAAAATCATGTTTCTCACTAAACATTTTAGTAATAAAGTGAACCTATATATAGATAATCATATATATGTATTTATATATATGCCGGCTCAGTGGTCTAGTGTTTGAGCGCTCGCGCGCGAGACTGATAGGTCCTGGGTTTGAATCTCGCGAGGCGGGATCGAGAATGCGCACCGCTGATGAGTCCCACAAAAAGGCAAAACGGCCGTCCAGTGCTTCCAGGTTTTCAATGGTGGTCCAGCTTCAATTGATTCATGATCTCAACTATTGAGATTACTATGATATCCACAAAACCCTTTCTGATATATATATATATATATATATATATATATATATATATAACGCAGAAAACAAACATGTAGGAAATCCTACTGTCACTAATTTTCAATCAACCATTTATGTTACATTTTTAACTGTACAATGATTTTTTCATATTGGTATGGAGAGTGTCATGTATCTAGGATAACAAAATTTTATTTGTCTTCGTACAATAAGCTAAGATATTTCGGATATTTCAAAAAAGTCACAAATAATCAGAAGTTGTTTTCTGCATACTTTTAACAGTCACAGTTGATTTTAAATTGTTGAACTGAATGACTGATAGAATGTAACAAACTATTTATAATATAGTAAAACATTAAATGTCCAATTGTCATAAAAATCATTAATTTTTTGTGAGCTTTGGTTTTTATAGGTAAGATACATACCTTATACTCTTTTTATAAAGTGAAATATTTCGAGTTATCGATCAATAAACTATTTGTACTTGGCAAAGATGAGTGGTGGCTAACAGTAGAATCCAGAACGCGCGTTTCGTCCTATTTGAGACTCGTCAGCTGGATGTACCTGCATCCCAGAGTTAATGATTACTCCGGGACTCGAACCCAGTACCATTTGCTTATAAAGCTTGTGAATTAAGACAATATCGGGGCAGTCCTCACAGGATGCACATATGCCAACAAGATCAACTGCAGCCCTAAACAACAACGGAAAGATACATGTAAACAATACCAAATGAATTTGTTTTTTCTTAGTTTAATTTGTCAAAGTTAAGATCATCTGGTTCCTGATATATTTGGACTGAGTTTTTATGAGTCGTAGTTGACCTATGTGCATTCTATGAGGATCGCCTCGACAAATTTGTTGTCTCACGAATGAATATAGTTGACGGTGAAATCCAGGACAAGCGTTGCGTCCTATTTTAGTCTCGTGAGGTTATTCTTTCTGCATCTCAGAGATTATTTTCACTTAAGGATTTGAAAACAGTACCTTTTTACTTAAAATTCCAATTCAATGTCACTTAGCTAGTGAGTTCAGATAACCACTTTAATCTATTCTACACAAATGATTGTTCTTAGGCTCAATTATCTAAGCCAACAAAATATTAAAATTTAATGGAAATCTCACCATAGTTGTATCTTTGATTTTCTTTGTCGCATTACTTTTGAAATGAATATGTAAATGTTTGCATTTAGTGCGTTCTTTGATAAGCAGTGGTTAATGCATAATAATAATAGTTTAATAAATACCTAACAGAATAGGGATTTATGGAGTTGTAGTAATTTTAACAGTTGAATTCACGCGTCGATCAAAGTTAGTGGTCTAGAAAGAATTCAATAAAAACGCAGTAATTTTTCACATTCAAGTGTTTGTTAAGAAATTCATATAGATTAAAATTAACTAGTATGAATCGCATTTGTACTTTGACATATAAATCCTAAATCCATCGACAAAAATCGATATGATTCCATCTATAAATAGACAATTAGATAATACATTGTACAATGTATTTTAGTTTTTATAATTAAATATATATGCCGCAATTGTTGCTTTCGACGTAAAATATTACTGTGTAAAAGTACGAACAAACTATTACAACTTTTTAAACTAGTACGAAATAATTATTGAGTAATATATTATCTTAAATTAGTTTTCAGTATATGTCCATTGGTTATGAACACTTTTTTCCCCTTTTTGATGAATATAATCCATACATAGTATAAGATTAGAATTAAACAATGTGGTAGGCAGATAATTTTTATTTTATTTACTCTATATACCAAGCAATAAACCTGAGTTATTTATTCATATCAATTTGACAATGAATAATAAATTGTAGGCAAAACAATTTTTTTCTTATACTAAATGACATATTTAGTAAACAAATCTGTAATTTATATTGTAACTATGCCTTAACGTGTTTATTTTTTTGTCAATTCACTAATTGAATGAAACAAACAGTTTAGAAAAAAATAAAATAAAATCGTTGTATTTTGATTTATAGTTATGAATTATTGATTTACTACTTAAATGCTTGTCCATAAGTTGTTACAAACTATATGAAACTTAGTTTTTGTCAAATTGATCTAGATTATTTATTGTAAATGCAATTATACAAATATTGTTACTTTAAAGTTGTATTAAAGTAGGTTATAGTTACCGTGAGATAACATTTTCATCTTGTCAAATGAGTCAAATTGAAATCCGATATATTGCCATGACAACAGCAACTATAGGAGTTTTCTTTAACTAAATGGTTACTTGATAAATTATTTAAAGTAGAATTTCTAAACAAATAACTTTCAGATGTAAACAATCAGTTGAAACTTTACCGTATATACATCATAAAGCTTTCATCATTTTAAAGATTTTCTCATATTATTTTGCCCAAGTTATCTGGTATTTGAGTCAAAAGAAACTAACTTTTTACATAAAACCAAAAAAATCAATTTGTAATGTAAGTTTGTACACAGCTATTCTTACTTTAATCGAATCCCATGGCAATGAGTGAAGTTGAAATTTAAATATTTATGTACTTTTGACATACTTAGTTACTTACACATGTTACCCCTAATGAGTAATCCATTCCAGCTACCTCTAGTTGTTATTCTTTTGATGTCTGTTTCTAATCATCGATGCAATGTGTTCCTTTGTAGCGCAGTTTGACATAAGATAGATATTATTTCACATTCATTGGATTATTATAACAATAAAGACACTATAAATATACTTAGATAATTTTTGAAACATGTCAAAATATCAAGTCTAGTTTCTGGTTATTTATCAGCTGGTAACATGAACACCAACAAATTTATAACCATACATGTTAGTGATTAAAAATATGTGTCATTGTTGTCTAATGGTGTGATTTGGAACTTTGATTATTATTTTTAAACAATTTTGCTTTTCAAATACTCAAAATAATTCAGATTGATAGAATAAGGGATGAAGTGCTAACTGAAATTGAAAAAAACGGTCTTTGCAAATGCTTATTCCTCATGTTCTTGAATTCATTTGAAATAACTACGATATTCCCTAATATTTAAAATAATATAGAATCGAAGACTTTTCTTATAAACCAGTATACTATTCGTCTCTAGCCTGTATCATTAATTATACACACTGTTTTCTAGAAATATGATTAGAATGTTTCCTCAATTTACTTTTTCACTCAAAGCATACCGTAAATAGGAAATTAAGTAAATCAAACACTTTTAATGAAGCACACTATTAGAAAAGTCAGTTTTTTAATTAGAATAACATGGTATTACTATTAAAATTATTTATGGAGTGTTAACAACTGACTGCATTTTTAAAAAAATACATTTAAAAGCCTCTATAGAAATGGAAATACAGACTGACAAAACAAAGTTATTGTTAACTAATGTCGGACTTATAAAACAAAAGATCCTTACAATATATGATACATGATGACACTATAATACGTATCGCTAAGATCTTAACAATTATTTCATGAAAATAAAAATAATTCTTCCCAACATATTATGTAATCATTGTTGTTTTGTATGCAGGATTTTGTGAGCTTAGTGTCTTTCGAGGTGAACACTGGAGCCTGATGAGTTCCCTTGAACATAACTATGAAGTTATATCGATATCCTAGATCTTTTTGATGTAAAGTCTTTATAAGTTCGATCAATTTTAGTCGAGAAACTCACTTAAAAGGAAAAAAACGAATATGGAGAGTTAAACCAATTTTTATGGTATATGACTGTTAAATTCATTATCTATAAAGTTCAAAATTAATAACGTTAGAGCTAATGTTGAATATTGGAAAGTCGAAACTTTGATTAAGAATACGATTACTCATTATTATAAATGACTTCATAACTAGAGGT